AATTTAACTGACGTCATGATGTGTACCTACCAGAGAGAAGCGTGCAATATGTGTTAGAAAGAGTGCGCCGATGGCATCCGTGACCTCGTACTCGGGTTGATAGGCAACGATGGTGTTTCTATCTCTTTTAACACACGTATTGTACGCTTCTCTGTCGTACACGTTGCGTCGTCAGTTGTATTTATGTACCCCAGAGCCAGACTAAGTCCATTTTTGTTAAAAATGAGTTTAATATGTTAAGCTTATGATAATATTGTGAATTTTCATTTACTACATGCAGCGTCCATCTATCTTTAATAATAAGGAAGTTACGACTTTTTAACTCAAATCAAGTCGTATTCAATACAATGCAAGAAAAATATTTCATATATAATTTTCTCAAAACTACTTATTTGGACTTAACCTAGTCTGGCTCTGAGGTACAGATTTGGTTTTCACTGTATATGAGTTGTCAACTTTTGAAGTATGGTGATAGTGGAGTAACTAAAAGTGTATATACGTTGTTGGAAAGGAGTCATTTGATTTTATGACTATGGTTGTTATGTGGTGGAACATTGTATCGTGATTTTATCACACTGTTAAATGGAGACTCCATTTGCTTTAATAGGGATAATTCACAATTTCTTTGGGAATCCATCAAACCTTTATTATCACGCAACAAAACAATAGATTTTCAGAAGCATCAGTGGCTAAGCGGGCATATCCTTCGTGATAGCTTATGAGTTTACGTGACGTGACATATTCCCATCTCAAACGTGTTTACTATAGCGGTGTGTAGTTCGCGGACTAACTAGTTCAATCGAACGGTTTATATGATTCGACTAAGTGAACTAGTTCGTGATTTCTTGAAAAACTCGTTCATTCGTTCACTACGAACGACTGGTATTACAGGATTACAGAGTCATGGTGGCCATTTTCAACATTTACTTGACTAACGGGTCAGTTCATTCTTCATTTTTAAATTACTTTGCTGCCAAATGTATTGATCTCCACTAACGATGATGTATTAGTTTTATTTAAGCTTTAAATCAATGAATATTCAAAACTACTGAACTGAAGTACATTTCCATTTAAGATTTTGGGAGTGGTGTCACCCCCGCTTAGGGGGCTGCACGTGCGAACTTGATTTTTTGCTTGTGTCCCCCTCGAAAACAAAATCAACGGGTCTGAGCGTTTTTCCAAAAAAAAACTGTGCGGCCAGTAAATGCGTCTGTTTCGTTTTCGATGCGCCACCCTGTATGTCAGACCATCTCAACTAATCTGGAATAGATTTTGCTCGTTCCTGGCATCACTTCAGAAGTAAAATCGGTTCATGACAATATTTATCTCGTTCGGTAATGACAAATATGTTTTACCTCAAGGTCAGAATCGCTCAAAACGTCTGATACTGTTTTCTTTTTCAGTTCATTTTTCGCTTGGCTTTTGTCTGCGATACTATTAAACCCTTCTCACGAACTCTATATACCTGAGGTCGCCTGGGTTTGTATTATTTATTGAAAACCTTCTGAACTGGTGAAAAGTGTTGAAATTGTTAGAAAACGTGTATATCTCATAGCTACATCTACTATGTGAGCGACAGTTTACGTGGACTATTTAAATTTTAATCCAACCATCGGCGACGGTGCTTAAATCTGGCGATCGGATGAAAGATTGAGAGGCAACGCTTTCACTGGCATTATTCTTGTGTAAAATAGTTCGTGCGCCGACTAGTTCCTAGAACTATTTCGTTTTAGTGAGCGTGACCGTTTGATTACTAGTTCACCAAGATGACCTAGAAAGTACATCACTAGTTTACTATTCATGACAAATCCAATCAGACCCGGAGACGGCCCCCATTGGGAATCCAGTAGAACTTTAAAATAAGCACACGTAGCATAATTTTGTGTACAATTTTGAGGATGTTTAGGGTCCCCCTCCTGAGAAAATCTGCTACCCCCGCTATTGAAGAAGTTTTGGGGACAGGTACACCTTCACAAAAAGTTCTCTTGCCGATGGTCGCTCCCCTGAGAAAAAATTCTGCGGGCGCCCATGGACAAACATGAATAAGTTGTTTTCATGGTTCTACAATCTTCAACGATAAAACAGATGAGTCAAAACAAATTCGTTTGCGCACCTGAACGTCTTCGATAATAATTGTTTTTCGCCAATTCTTTTTTCAACATTTCTATCAATGAACTATGGAACAACAATGTAAAAAGCATGTTACACCTTAGCGCTGTGCCGATATCGGATTCATGCATCATAAATGACTAATTCATTGTCTATGCAAACTGCGCTTTTTCCCCTTTTTTTAACACCGAAGTCTCGAAAGTGGAGTCTAAATGACGAACTCCTGGAATGCTATAATATAGTTAAGGATATATTGTTGATTCTATATTCGAACAGTCTAATTTAACATAATAAGGGAAACCTTCCTTTTGGTAGATTAGTCCTCATCCTCGACAAGGAACAAAGGAGCTGTCGTGCCCACCAGTTGTAGATACCCAGTTTGACCTGAGCTGAGAAACAGAGACCTGATGGTCTTAAAGTTCTGCAAAGAGCTCTTAAGAGCCAAAGCATGTTTTCAAATCGTTATATAACGGGTATAACAAAAGTAACGAAACGACTTTTTATTTTTCCGCGTAAGATATTTTTGAAAAAGACCAACGTCAGGTCTATGCTAGGCTTTGAACAAAAAGTACAATCGTGACCTTGGATTTGACCTTGAGCTTCACCTTCAAGATTATTCCAAGGTCAATTGTTGTACCAATCGAAAGTACGGAAATGGAAGTCAAATGTGAGACTAGAGAAAATTTCTAGAAGTTTATTTGGTATTCATAAACTTTCAAAAATGATTTCACTGGTGATCTTGGCACCTCACCTTCAAAGCCATTTCAAGTCAAGCTTTGCAACTGGAAATCTTTCCGATAATGGATAATTTTAAGTTTTCATCTATTATTATGACCTAAAAGTGAGATTGAAGGTCAAATTAATGGTCAATATTGAAATTCTTGATTTTTTCATCAGTGATCTTGTTAAAACTTCCACGATAATAGGATAATGGGGGGGACCAAACGCAGGAAAATCATTGTTCCCAAAAGAAATTTTCGCTATCCTGGGGCCGCTGTGGAACCGCGTTGTGGTGCCCCTCGCTTAGAAGAAGTAATTTGACTGATGTCAAACGTTCATTCAAATGCAGATGAAACCTCATCGGGTCGAATGATAGACACACCCAGTCAAATATGTGACATGGTTTAGCGATTACAATGCTTTCGTCGCGTTTTGGTCTAGGAGGAAAAAAATGTCAATCCAGTCCAAGCACGATCTCTGGTGAATACGTAATGTTTCAACATTTAATTTTCCGCTACTGAGTTTTAGAAACGTCGTAAATCCTCCTATCGATTTTCCATTCTGAAACATAACTTCCATCGAACCCTTACGAACACCCATACTCTCGAACTAAAGGATGTGCCAGGCACAACGTATACAATATTATACAGCAAGGCAACTCCCGACCGTAAGAAATTCACGTAAAGCATAAAGTGTATCCGAATTATTACGTGGGCCATGCCAGCAGCTGTCACTTCGGCTACCGATAAGAACGGACCCCGCTGACGACTACACGTCAGCCACGAGACACCCAATATTGTTTTTCTTATCCAAAGTTTGTTTGGGTCAATCTGAATAAAAAAGTTCTTATGAGCTTTTCTCCAAGGCTGATAGTTTCCATGATACTATTATAAGCATTTAAATCATTATAAAAAGTACAAAATGTGCTATTTTCGTATGGGCATCACTGCACAACTATTGGTGAAAATATTAAACAGTTCTAAATGGAGTATTTCCGTCAACAATAAAATTAGGTGCCTATGCCGTTGCCATATTCTTTAAGTTGATCAGCGCCTTTAATACGGTTAGCACCAATTTTGTCTCAAGGTCATCAGGGACACCGCAGGATAGCGTCCTTGGTCCACTAATATTTCTTATATTTGCTAATGACCTGCCTGATCACTTGAGAGAGAAAACCATTTCTATTTGCTGCCGATACATGTGTGATTGTCTCAGCCTCATCTGAAGATGAGTTAATTTCATATCAATAAATCCCTTGAATAATTTCAGTACTGGTAACATCTAAACCGAACTGACTTAAATCATGTTGTCACGTGACCGTAAAGAATACCAATCGACACGCGTTTGTAGTCAAGGTCAAATTAGACTGCTGCGTGTGGCTGACATTTTGAATGGTTAATATTTCCGCATTACTAAACTGTCTCGGTTTTCCCCTACACTCTCATCACATGCGACATCTTATTCTATGTATACGAGACTTTATGCGTATATAAATTTTATATATGTTAAATTTCCTTTGTTTAGTAGTAAAAAATCATTTATATGCTGTCCTCCGTCAAACTATTTCAAGACTTATCGAACCAAATAAGGTTACTAGAAATATTTCTATCTTGCACAATATTCTATCCCCAATCCACAAAACCTCAGCAATGTATAGAATGTTCCTCAAAATGCCATGAATGAATGTGAAACAAGGGTTCTTATGTTTGTTATACCCGCTATACAAATAGATGTGTATACAAAGTTTTGTTAAAAGTGAAGAATTAGTTTTCAACTACCTAAAAAGCTTTTAATCAACACTCTATCCCTAGCTGATCTTGCGTGATTTTAAAAACGTGCTGGAGTCGAAAAAAGTGGATTTCTGATAAAAGGCATCGAAATCTAACGTATTTTTGCTTGAAATTTTCCCGATCTCACCCACTCGTTCGATAACCGTTTTGTAAATGAAAACCCATTCATACAATTCAGAGAAAACAGCTGGGTGTAATTTGGAGGAGTCAAGCACCTTTTGACGATGATCGTTTCAAACTTCAGTCAGTTTTATCTTCTTTGCGTCTTTGGGAAAATATGTGTGACGTTCTGTCGACTGGACTATATTGCCTATGCAAAAAATATGGCGCACGCCTCTGGTGGAGACTGGCCTAGCTTAAATCGCACGTCGCCGTAGCTCGATGATTACTCACACCGCGCAACTCATCTGACAGATACTCCTAACCCCACTTTTTGGGGAAATCAGCTGTTTACTGCGTTTGTAGGCGGATATATCACAGTGCAAAGATTTGTTTATTGTTCATTGTACTGGCTGTGGTATTGGTGTATAAGAAATGAGTTTTCTTAACATCATGCACAACCTCTAGTGGACAGCTCAAGCGCACGTGAGTATAATTTTTTGCAGCAAAAAGAAAAAGTTATTTATTAAGAACAATTAAGGTATTATTTTATAGAATTTGTGGGAAATCCTGACATTCATTTGGTTGATATTTGATCTTAAATGCCTATGTTATGATGCAAATGTATCAATGCTTTCAGGGTACCAGCAACCCATTTGTTGTAATACCTAATTATCTCAATTTCACATAGCTACAAATGATATCCATAATGTTTTTAGTATTTGTCTACTCTTAACTAAAGGTTCTTAAAAATTTGTTTACATTAATGTTATGTAACATTTCCATGGTTTATTATTTATTATGATTTTTCTATTCCAAAGTGTTTTGATGATCTTCAACACTGTATTCACAAAAGTAAATCTGCCTCAAAATTCACTTGTTCAATAATATCAGATATCTGAACAGAATATATAATAATTCTAAGTACAATATCTTAAACAACCAATCTGCAAAAAGGATAATGTCATCTTATTACACAGAATTATTTAATAAAATATTATTGAGTGTGGCAGTGACCCTATTTGAAGGATTAGTAATGAATAAGACAAACTTCCTTCCAAGTATGTAATCAACTCACTAACAACATATTAGCATCTTGTTGAATGTTAGTATAATATGTTATTAATATATCATGAAGCATCTCTTCTTGATTGAGTTTAATCACTGTAATATACTTTTAATTCTAAAAATAGTGTCAATATGTCTAGAGCAGAAGCTACTTTCAGTTGCCAACAAGAATCTGCCATTTCTATAGGTTAGCTTAGCTTTGTTTCCTCGTAAAATCAATGAGGCATCCCTGTGAGGGAGAGCTCACAAAGTTCATATAAACATAGGTCCTAAAATATTCTGTTAACAAGATACAAGATGTTTAAATTTGTATGTCACTGATGTGATTAATTGAAGACATTCATTTTGTGGTGAGGTGAGAATACTCCCATAATATACTACATGTATGTAAATATTTTTTAGATTATGCTTTTATCCACTCCAGAGATATAAATGTTTCACTGTCAAAAAGCATTACCTGCAACTTTTGTAAAATCATTCACCATACTCCATTTGTTCTTCAAGAAATATGTTTTTCTTATGGTGTCAGAATTGTTTCTCAGTTTTACTCCCAAAATACAAAATTAGGTTTGAGATACAATTTTTTGAAATGAAAGGAAATGAGGCATGATCAATCTAATAGTGATGATTTCACAAAAATTGTGAATAATGTCTCTTGCCACTAACACCTAGAGGTCTTCCTCAAGCTTGAAATCAAAACTCTATCTTGGTAAGAAAGAATTTTTGGACCCATGTTTATATGAACTTTTCATATTATTATTGCTTTTTCTTTCTGCCCTAGAAATATTGCCATCGTTTCATTAATCATCCTGTGCTTTGTGTATCTAATTAATATTAATTTATTGTTTTAAGAAATCCTTAGTACATAACTACAAGAATGGTTTTTAATAAATTTTATAAATAATGGTGATTAAGTTATAAGTTCATCTTTATGTAACATTAATTCCAGTATAATTTTTGGCATAAACATGAAATTAAATACTAAACAAAAATTATATTGAAATAATTCAGAAAATTATATCATCTGTCTATGATGAAAATAAAATAGAAGGCTGAATTAAATATATGCCTTAGAGGTACTGTGATTCAGTTTTTCAAAAAAATACATCCTAAAAATGTTCCATAACAGTATTTATTTAGGTTTGAAATTTTATATAAGGATTAAAAAATGATGACATTCATATCATTCAATTTAAAGTTATATGATTTTTGAACATCTATCCTTGATTTGTTCACAAAAAAAAACCTTGTGGGTACTCCCGCTGACTGCAATGTTGAGATTCTTCAAATATTCCAATCATCCATAACCAATGCACCATGGTATGTTACAAATGAAATAATTCAGTGTGACCCAAACTTACCACTGTGAAAAATACAATCAATCAATGTGTTGTAACAGATATTGTGACTGACTAGCTATTCACCATAGCTCTATTGCAGCGAGTTTAATGAAGAAATGGAGAACAATAAGACTTAAGAGAAATATTCTGCAGGACCTGTGCAGCTTAAAACCATTATGGGTGGAAGAGATTTTCTCTGCCCATATGCTGGGAGGAGACCAAGACAGTGTTCCGCTTTTGGTCTTTTGTCATATTCAGCTGAGAGAAGGGACATGATAACCTTCAGTAAGAGGCCAGGAAAGTTAGACAGACTAGTAGACAAGCATATGGAGTAGAGTGTTGTTACCCTCGGGGTCAGCAAAGAGGACCAAAGGTGACCCCTAATTCCCAGATTTTGCCTTCCCAAAGCTATTATTACTACAAATTCCACATGATTAATATGTCACACATTGTGTGGTAAACGCATCGAGCCGAGCTACTGGGTTCAAGTCTCAGCCTCGATTCATTCCGAGCCATGGATGTTGTATTGTATGTTGTCTATATCATGCACCAGATAGGTACATCGCATCGATGGAGTTGCTTTATGCGAGTAGTCAGTTACCATTAGATGGCTTGTGGAGAGGTACAGTGATGTTACTGGCTTTCAAAAAAGGTGAAAGGTGGCCTGTTTGTCAGGCTTCACTTCCCCACCACTACCACTTGTCACATATTTAGTAGTTTCATTCTCTTTCAGATCCAACAACCATCCACATCGCATGTCCTTGAAAATTACACTTAACTTGCGACGATTCAACGAGAAACTACGAAACATCTTCAACATGGAAGCGAGCGTCGCACATCACATAACCGACGACTACACTGAGGTCTACCGCAGCCTTCCCTTGAAGCTCCAACTTGCTTATGGAGTAGGCCATGTGCTCAATGACGTTTGCGCCTCAATGTGGTTCACTTACCTCTTGGTGTTTTTCCATTTGGTGCTGGAATTCAGCAACTGGCAGACTGGCTTCATGCTATTGGTAATTCTCAATGATTTTATGGGAGGAAATGAAAAAACTTTCGAAAAATGTTATAATCATATTTTTATGTACATAAAGTAACTCTAATGAAATATTTCTCCTACTACACTACTCGCAAAAATTCAGAGAGCAAGGAAAACATCAACATTTTTTAGTGATCTTTGGTCTTTGAAAATGGTCGTATCTGAACTTTAAAAAGGGTATTTTGAAGCTTTAAGATTCAAGTTTTCAGGTTTGTAACCGAAAAATTTTAGGAGCAACGTCTCATACAATTCCAACAAAATAAATTTTTTGCAAAATGTTTCTTGATATTTTTTTCTGTTAGGCCATCATATGGATCAGATATCCCGTTTATTCAGCTTCAATAACATGTTTTTAAAATCTTCATATGATCATTAGGCACGGAGATATCTGACTTTGAATGAGAAACGATGCTTTTGTTACCGACCACTGATTTCTCGGTAACCAGTAATCGCACAGAGCATGTAAGGGTAGTTCAGAAAACTTGAAAAAATCGCCTATAAGATTTGATTGTATCTTTTGAATTTGAAAATAACTGAATCAAAAAATTGTTTTGGAAATTCGACCGCCTTTTTGAAACTGCTAATGAGAAGGATAATATTTTTAGGTTTTTTATACCTCAATGTACCTCTAATAACCCTGCATGACGGAAGATCGATTCATTGTAAGGTTTCTCCGGAACCAGATTGTAAGATATTTTGACACAACAATTTTGCTCATTTGATTTCTTTCAAATTTTAATCAATTGGTCCGTAAAAACCGTACTGCATCGATCTACAGGGGCACAAAAATATCCCATTGTAGACCCAGTACATTTTTGTTTTTTTCTCAACAGGTTGGTCAAATTGCAGATGCCCTTGCCACGCCCTTTGTGGGTTACCACTCGGACGAATCAGATGGTTTCTGCTTTTGGAGATACGGCAGACGAAAAATCTGGCATCTAGTGGGCGTCATTTGCGTTCTAGGCACGTTCCCGTTCATTTTTGCACCTTGTTTTGGGTGTGAATATAGCAGCAGATCAGCCCAGATGTTCTACTATTGCATGTTTATAGTGATATTCCAGTTTGGATGGGCTGCAGTGCAAATATCACACCTGTCCCTCATACCCGAACTAACACCCAATGAACACGACAGAACGAAATTAACTGCCATTAGGTGAGCACTATTATAGAATTCCAATTTCTTATAATTTATTGTCGTTAGAACTATAATGGAAAGAAAAAACTGCCCCCTCGGTCTTATTTGCAAATGTTTGTGGACATTGAAATTTGCTTTTGAAGTGTCACTGATATTACGTGGAGGCTTTCGCCCATTTCCGATTTTCTGTCAATTTTGTTGATCACTATTTATGAAAAAACCGTCTATTGTGATCTAATATTGCAAATTCACTTTATGTCTTACACATGTTTGGGCAGATCTCATAATTACGTAACCATGAATATTAAATAAACGGTCGTTCAAGTTCATTAACAGAGCATAGTCAAACAACAGCTAAACATTAATACAATCAAACGCGTGCGTTTTGCCTATATTAATATCTCATAATACGAGGTCTGTCTGGACAGTATCCAGTCAAGTAAACGTCCAAATACTCGTAGCGCATAGTGTTGGTAAATACCTTAATGAACGCTTTAAGGTGATTTTCCAAATTGGTTAATCGACCGGACTATTTTATATTATTTTCAGGTATTGTTTTACTGTAATCTCAAATGTGCTAGTCTACATAATCACGTGGATAGTTCTCCATATGAACGATGGAGAGACAAACAAAATCGGACCTAGTGATGGTCCCAAGTTCCAGCATGTAGTGTGGAGTATTCTAGCATTAGGTGTAGTTTGTTCTATTATCTTCCATGTCTATGTGAAGGAATGGGATAACGACGTAAGCCAAAACGTAAGAGGAAGCCAACTTAGGACCAGCGTCAGAGATCTTTTGCTGAGCTGCAGAGTGTATCAGGTATGTTGATACAGCGAATATTTTAATGTTACTTCTGACGGTCTGTATAATTTCACAGCCTTGCCTAAAATCAAAGCACTATTTGATCCCACTAGGTAGCTGCGGTGTACATGTCATCCAGACTGTTCGTAAACCTAACTCAGGTTTTCATCCCCCTGTATCTCCACGAAACTCTCGAAATGCCCGCCAGCGCTCTAGCATCGGTTCCTCTGGTCATGTTCCTCGGTAGTCTGGTGACGTCACTGTTCATAGAGAAGATCAACAGGTGCTGCGGTAGGAAGTTGACATATACATTGGGGGCATTGTTAGGCATGGCAGCCTGTGTTTGGATCAGATTAGGCAGTGAACCCGAATTACCTGTTGGTAAGTACATGTTTGTGTCTTACAATATTAGTGTTTTGTAGAAATAGCATAATAGTTTTTTGTTTTGTTTCTGCATGGTATTCTGTATAAGGGGCGACAGTACGAGGTCGACAAATTTAGTGATGAGACTTTTATTTAATTCTTATTCAAATATCATTACAATTTTATTCTGTCACCCTCAAAATAACTTCTGAACTAACACAGCGCTGGACACAGTTCTTCCACTCCTCATATCAATGCTGGAACTCTGATACTGGAATAGCCTTCAGCTGGTCTGTTACAACCATTTGAATGTTTTCGACTGTCCCTTGAGGTGATTTTTCAACCTCGGAAAGAGAAAAAAGTCACATCGACTCCAGTCAGGCAAATGAGGAGGCTGAGGAACCACAGGAATGTTTTTACTGGCCGAAAACCCGTTTATTGACATTGCTGTGTGAAGAAGCATTATCATGACAACCAGTTGATTTTGATCTGATGAAAGGTGGTGTGAGTCAAATTTAACCCTTCCTCGATTATTCTGACTGTCAACCGACGATCTGAACGCACAAGACCGCGGATTCTGTCGATATTTTCATCGGTTCTTCCGCTTCTCTTCTGAAAATGCTTTAAACCACCAAAAAGCATGCGCTCTTGACAAAACACTATCTCTCTTTAGCAAGAGTTTCCGTTGCACTGTGCGCGTGTCTGAAGCAAAACATGATAGCGCACCGTTGTTTGAAGTTGATGTCATTCATTTTTAGAATACAATAGAAAAAACTGTTTCACAAAAAAATCGCTACGGGCAACGAAATAACCTGAGCGTGTTCAAACTTGCACTGAAGGCATATCATATGTTCCCTGGCCCGGCGCCTCCAGTGTTGCCAGATCGAACGCTTCGTTGCCAGTCTCATCACTTAATTTACAGACCTTGTATGTAGCAACTTTAATTAATGTCTATCTACTAGTAACTTTGAAAAAAGGTCACCGAGGTGGCCGAAATGTCAGGAAACAAAAAATCCTACGTATGTGGTTCCATTTAACGACCAGAAAAACTTAAGAATTAAGAGCATGAAAACCACAGAATATGTTTCAGATGTTACTTCAACCTAAGTGGAATAACCTTGTTGAAAGAAACGCTACTAACGTTTCACTGCCTCGAGACCATTTGAAATGTAGCTTGTATGAAATATATTTTTTTGTTTGTGTAAAAGTGTTTATGATGGTTTACTCATGAATTTAAACTACTAACTAAAAAATCGCTGAGTATAATTATGCAGACAAATGTCGGAAAACAGTTCATATTGTTTTGTATTGATGGAGTAACTACGCATGAAATGATTAAATGCCTTTAGCTCACTGTTTCAGAGAATGATAAGAAGCGGTGACTATTTTTCACGTGTATGGTGATTAACGTTTTCCATACAGTCACTTGTCCACGGGTACTTATCTAATAGCAAAACAGTAACAGCGAATCGCAAATCTATAAAATGGTAATTTGGTTTAAACTGGGTCGAGGTGTATTAATGATTTTGGCGCTATGTGCATAGCAGTTGGCAGTGCTACTTTTAATATGTTTGTTTCTGAACGCATAAATATGTGTGTATGTATATGTTCTAAACCATCTTGCAAGATTAGTAACCCATCTGGATCTTCCAAGAAGTATTTAACCTATTTCCGAATATACGAATACATAATATTCTGAACCCGTATATTCGGAAATAGGCTAAATACTGAATGGAAGATCCAGATGGGTTATTAACCTCGTGCGAAGGTTTACAACATATAAATGTAAATGTATGTCCAGTCAGTCAGCATTACATCTGCACCATAATACGAAGAGACGTACAAATTTGTACACTTACTAATTGAAACCCGAGAAAGGTTATCCGCCAAAAAGTCCGATACATACATTTCCTTGAGAAAAATGTTGTAGAAGAATGGTGTAAGGTTTGAAAAGATTCATCTTATGGTGAGCTTGAGCGTGGCGTTGGCTTCAAGATCATTTGAAGGTCAAGTCAGGTTTTTCAAATGAAAACTCTATGTTTGACACCGGAAATATAAAGAGCGCGAATCTTTACGTTAAAGTATGTTCGTCTTTGCTCATGACCTCGACCACGATCATGGGTATATGAGAGTGCCCAGAAGGGAAGGACGAAATATCTCGAAAGATACACGTCATACAGAAAAACGTTGTTTAATAAGGTGGTAAAGTTTGAAAAGATTCAGCTAATAGTGACCTTGACTATGAGCCTCAAGCTCTTTTGAAAGTCATGTCAGTTTATAATGGAAAATATTTATTTTTGATTCCTCCAATGTAAGTTCCGCACAATTTTAAGGTCACATATATTGCCCATGAACCTGACCATGATCTTCAATGTCATTTTCAAGCAAAAACTCCTTATTTTTTGTCGGGGACATAAAAAATAAAATATTTCATAAAAAATGTCCATTGAGAAAGTAACTATTGCGAATATTACAATGCTTTCTGCGAAACAATTCTCCTTCACATTGATGACCTGCACATTGCACTACTTCCAGGTATGCTGACCCGCGTGTTCAGTCTAAAAGCATCTCAGAAAGGTGCTATAATATGTATATATACAAGCTGTTTGAAAATGGATATTTTTCAAATAGCGCTATGGTGAGGTGGGATTACTACACAAATATTCTACCAATAGACAATTTTTAAATTCAAAAGTATTCAAAGGTAAACGAATATAAGTTTATTTTCTGCGGATTTAAAAATTCAAACCAAGTTCCTCCAAGAGTTTCTTTTTCCTTATGCAAAAGTAAAAATATCCCAATTTATAAACATCTTCCAATTTGTTTCATGATTTTGCCTTCATCACCATGCGCATTGATAAGAGTCCATTTCATGATCCATGTTCTATAAAGTTCTTATGTGATTGTAGGACTTATTTTCTGATTTAAAATATTGCCATTCCTTTTTGGAATCCGTGCTCTGATGTTTTGTCTTGATACCCAGTTTAATTTCTTACTGTAAGTACTGGTAGTTCTATAGTTTTCACAAGTACTGAAAAAAGATCCACCTGTATATACATACATGATGCATCTAAGAGTCGCACTTTAGCCCATCAGCTCACAAGGCGCCTACCAGTATATTGGTGTTAATTTTATAGATATTACGTAGTACTGCACTATGAAGACACTAAAAGAATATACGTAAACACAGATAAGATTAATTTCCAGTTTTGTTTCTCAGTGACCGGAAATGAACTCCTCGCAACTCCATTTTTCATTAACGCGTTGCTACACGTATAACGAATTAAGAATAGATTATAAGGTCATCCACTTTCATAACATGCAACAAACCTATTAGACCACGATGATGGTTAAGAAAACCGACTCCAACATGGAATCGCTCGTGTTGGTTATATAAATAACCCGTTGTAGTCTATTTGAGACTAAAGTTTGTAAATTATCGTAGTATCTTGATCCTGTATATCACGCAAATCGACTTGAGGGCGATCTATCAAAATTACTTGAACACCAAAGGAAAAGTTATAGCAAAACAGAATAACGTAGGATAAGAAATTGAAGGATAATCATGATGAGAACGTCATGGCGTACTAAATGACAGAATTTTGTTTTATTAAAAGTCAGACATTTATTTTAATTTAACTAGCCTGCATTCTGCTAATCGCGTGCCATTTCTACATATACCAACTTTCTTGAACAAGGTTTGTTTTAGAGTACTAATAATTAGGCATTTCATTCCGCCCAGTATTATTTTTTCTTAAATTTCCGAGAAATACAAATAAAAATTATACCGAAGTCTAAACCCGTTTTCATGTCTGACTTTCATGTCCTGTAGTGAGAGAATCAAGTATGACCACTGAGCCAAATAGCTCAACTTAGTATTTGAAGCAACCTCAATAAAAGTATTTGGCGAATTCAAGTCCAGCGATCTTGGTGTTCATGCGATATGGAGAGACACTAGAACCACGGCTACAATCACATTGCAACCGAATCTGTTTCCCAAATGGTGCCTTACTAAGTGAGGAATCTAAAAGGCTAAACAGTCGTTTGCGTAGGAAACCACCATGCATATACTATTACTTACTTTCAATGATTTATACTTTGAGGTAGGTGTAAATAATGAAAACGCATTTGCTGCAACATGATCATGCTTCGGCACATCACACCTTCACAAGTATTTAGCTCATGTAAATAAGGATCTTGTGTCTCAGCTCTATTCCATCGCTGCCAATATCGCTGGACCCGAATCCGCTAATTTTTTTATATAAACAGCAAATCGTGACCGCGTGGCCTTTTCCTTTTGTTGAGATACGCGAACTAGATGACTAGACAATTACTCCTCTCTTCCAGACTGGCCTCACCGGCTGTGCGTCTACTCCATCGGCCTCCTTATCGGCTCAGGTGGATCCATAATCCTAGTCTCTAGCCTCGGGGTCACCACAGACCTCATCGGCGAAAAAACTGACAGCGGGGCCTTCGTGTACGGTATCATGAGCTTCACCGACAAGATCGCCAACGGAGTAGCGGTGGTACTGATACAGTACGCACACTCGGATGCCAATGACAGGTTCTTCTACAGGGACGCTATAGCTTTTGTATGCGGAGGCTCAGCGTTGCTGGGGACAATAGCCGTATTGTCTTTGGTCAGGAGAGAGGCGCTTGGAGAGTACACCAGAGTGCCCGACTATAACTCTATTAATACGTAGTCTTAAATGCGATTGGAGTAGGATTTCGGGTAATGCTGTCCAGTAAGATATAGAGTTCTTGATTCTCGTTATTTTCGAGTATTCGTTACTAATCGTTACTTTTCTAAGATCATTTATTGTATTCGTTACTTTGATTACTATGAGTAGTATGAGTGTAACGATTTGGCAACGTGCGTCGTGTACTTAATGTCGAATTTGAACAACTTCAATGGAACGACTATGTTATGGTAAGTTGTCTTGTAGGAAAATAAACAACCTTAAGATTTGCAAAAAGTGTTAATCATAATTTATTTGAATCTGCCGTGCTTAATGCAAAACGAGATGGGTTATTATACACTACGCAAAAAAATTAAGGGAGCAAGGAAAAATCAAATTTTTTGTCGATTCTTAAAACGCTCTATTTCTGTGGAAAATGGCCTTACATAGGCTTTAAAAAGGCATTTTAGAGCTTTAAGATTATAGTTTTCAGGTTAATTAGCCCAAAAATGTTAGGTGCAACGGTTCTGATGCAATTCTAACATATAAAGCAAGGACAAATTTTGCTTGAATTTTTTTTCTGTTAAGCCATCATATGGATCATATTTGATTGCAATCTTTGAGGATTTCTTTTTTGTTTCCTTAGTATTGATTTTAAAACAGTCAAAAGAAAAGTTACTTTTTGCCTTGTTTTTGAAAATCGATTTTTGGAGCTGCTATTGAGAAGGCTAATGTTTTTAGGTTTTTTTATACCGATCAAATTTTGACCAATCGGTCCGAAGAATCCATACAATATATCGATCTGCCGTCATGTAGAGTTATTAGAGGTACATTGATATATAAAAAATGCGGTAAATTTTCCAAAACAAAGCTTTTTGACTTTTTTAAAATCAGAACTACGGAAATAAAAAAAATTGCCTCAAAGATTGCAATTAAATCTTATAGGAGGTTTTCGGAAATACTTTTACATTCTCTGTGCGATCACTGCTCACCGAGGTATCAGTGGTTAGTAACTAATTCATTTTTCATTTCATTCATTCAAAAAAGTTTTAAGCCCTTGGACTAAAAAGAAGGCCAAAATTTTGTGAAAACATTTTTATAGCGTTATCTATTAGAATTGCATAAGAATAAAGGCTAAAAATCTAAAAACTAGAACCCTAAAGCTTCAAAAAGTCTAGATACAACTATTTTTCACCGAAGTACAACCTGGCAAATATTACTGGGAATGTAGGGTCTCTGGCAACACTGATGCATGAGCGGCAGTGCTATAGTGATACCTAATATGGCAGAAACCAACGCTGGCGCTCAACTATCAACGATTGTCGCGTACGGGTACGGAAAGCGAAGTATGTAATCATCTATGAGTAACGAGTTCTCGAGTAACGAATAGTTACTTTTTCAACACCTCTAGTAAGATAAGGACGATAAAGTGTGTATTAATAGTATGAAGGTGGAAAATCCTCGACCCAACAGAACTGAAAATTATTTAGGTGGGACTAGAGCATAAAACTTTTTCGCAAATATTAGGATAAACAACACGCTTAATTCCAACAAAATCGGTATGACATGTATGTCAGCCTTTCTTCCAACTAATAAATTATACTAAATAGAGGAGAACATTCCTTTTCTCTAATCTCATTTAAATGAAATATAAAAATTATTTATGTGATAAAATATATTATAAACAAAATATGTCAAATTAATATTACCTCCAAAAATCGAATAATATGTCAAAATGTTTTTGAACTCAATTCCTTTAATTCTGCTTTAAAAAACATTTTAGATGGAATTGGTGATGTCGGTGTTATAACAAAGCTGTGATCAATGTAAAGCCGAAATCATCTAAAAAGATACAGGTTCTTATATTATCTAAGGTCGAGGATTTTCATCTAAAAAGTGCAATATCTAACAGAATCTCCATTTATATAGTTTTATGTTGCATCTCGTTTTGACGTTTATAGAAAAATATGCCACAATACTATGTAAGCAATATACAAAAATTTATGTATGCGAAACTTTAAAGATGATGATGCATCACTAGAACATTTTTGGTTCCATATTGTACCCATATTAGACTCAAAAATATAAAATGCATATGTACTTTACTGTGTACAAATGTATGCTTTATAACAGTTACACATCATTTTTTCTGTGATCATGCAAGGATTATGGATTTTTTTATATATAAATTAGCTTTACAATACTACTGTATATTTTATGAGAATTGATGTTATTTTGTTGGAATGTTTTACACATTTACTGTATATTTTGAATATGTTTAATAAACGTGACAATTTTGTACTTATAAGATTTATTTTCTTAATATACGGTGTATGTTATAGAGCAAATACTCAAGGAAAAACAGTATTTTTTGATTTTTTTATCAAAATGAAATACCAATATTTTGCCTCAAGAAGTATGTCTGGGTGTTTTGAATTTAGTCTATGGTAAAGGATTGGCAACTTGCCATTTGAAATTCAAATGTAAAATTTGAAAATAATGAAGTTCTAGCGTGAAGTAATGTTTTTCCACGCCCTGTCCTTCGGATGTGACCCTATTTCTGTCATGAAGGATTCCATCTGGGAGCCAATGGAGAAGTTTCGTGATGTTTAGAATCGCAAAGTAATGACATACCAGCAAAATATTGATGAAATATAATCAACCAGTGAAAAAATTGAAATCGGTCAATAAACGACAGAGAAATTAATACTTAAGTTTGGCTCATTATGGCGCGAAATCATTGCAGTAATGAAATTTATTTTTTCAAATCCATCATATACAAGCGCGGAAATAAAAGCTGTGAAACTTTTGAAGCAAGGATTTATATCTACTGCTACACTATCACAACTACCTATAAAATTTGCGCTTAACTACCGAGGTTTTAAACAAATTAGTGTTGATGAGATTCCTATCTTGAAGATGCTATTGGTTATGTTCAGTTGAAACGTGAAGGTACTAAATGCATTGTAAAATCCAGAGTTACACCTGAAAATAAAGTGAAAACTACGCCTTACAACTGTAGATTAGTATGTGACTAAAGTGTGGAAAGAATTGAAACTGTTGTGTGTCATAATTATGCTATTAAGCTTGGAGGATTTAAATACACAATAACGTTTTTGATCTGGCAAGTACTTCAGTAGAATTTTACTGGTTGAAACCAGCGCTATCTAAAGTTGGCAGTAGTGTTAAGTTTATTAAAGCGAGAGATTTCAATAACGAAAGTGGAAGTTCTTCAAATTTAGACGTAGTAGAGGATCCTAACCTCTTCGATAGACTCATTGATGGATGCAAACAGAAAAAACTTAATAAGACCCAAGTAATGGCTTACTTTACATATACAAGCATAGAAATGCAAGATTCACTTTTTTGTGTCATGATCACCTACTACAGATACAGTATAATTTTCAAGCAGTGGATCTTCTAGTGCTTTCGATTATTCGTAGGTTGAGTCACACTGAATGAATCCTAATGGTTGCCAACTTAAGGTGAAGGGAACAGCGTTCTGCGCGACGCTTTTTCTTATATATATGATCTGTATTCTCTTAAAGGCCGCACACCTTTTTGGCAGTCAAACTTATGAGGGTTTACTCCGACATTCAGCTTCAATCTTCCACCGACTAGTTTATATTTTATCAGATTTTCAGTAATAACAAAAAGCACTCGAAGTCGAAATTTGAAGAGAGCTAATTTGATAAAGGTGTTACTTTTCTAAAATGTCATTAAAATATATAATAACATTGCACATGATGCAGTACATCCTACTTGACGCCTTTAAGTGACACTATAGTAGCTCACAGCTATTCTCGCTGAGTTGAAATAAGTGATCTGTTATATTAGTTGATAAATATTTCATCGTCAAATGCCGCGTGTACAGTGAAATGAGATTGGAATCATCCTGATGACATTCGTAGGGCTACAAATCTTGTCCATGAAGTGAGAAACGCAATGCACGAACTCCGCAACTCCCACACATTCACGGTCCTGAAGGCATAGTCTTCAGAACGGAGGATAAGGTAGAGGTTTTCGCTGATGCCATGGAAAAACAGTTCTCTCCCAACTATGATCTCGATAATGACCTCGACGAAGAACAGCACATCGTACGATCCGTCAGGAGATATTTTAGGACTAACGGCGTTAGCGGAAGCACTGAATCTTCTTCAGATGACTCTTCTTCAGAAGATTCGTCTGAGGCTCCACATAGCACATTAGCGGAACCCTCCTAGTTTCCACATTGCACACCAGTGGAGCTCCTAAGTCATATTAAAGACCTCAAGGTGCGTAAAGTACCTGGGGAGGATCAAATCACCAACAAGGCGTTGAAGCTGCTCTCGCTGAAAGCCCTGACATATTTGGTGACAATAATCAGTGCGACGCTCAGAATCCAGTACTTCCCTGCTGGGTGGAAGACTGCTGAGGTCATCATGATTCCAAAGAAGGCGGGTTCGATATTTCCTCAGGATTACAGTCCCATAAGTCTGCTGTCAGTTCCTTCTAAGCTCGCCGAAAAGGTGATTTATCGTCACCTTGAGAATTTTTCATCAAATCACCATGTGATTCCTGACGTCCAATTCGGTGTTCTGTCCGAGCATAGCACCGAGCTACAGGCAGTCAGGCTGGTGGAGCATGTAACCAGAGGGTTCACCCTCAGCATGAGTACTGGCATCTTGCTTTTGGATGTCTCAAAAGCCTTTGGCAAGGTGTGGCACGCGGGCCTCCTCTATAAACTAATCCAAAAGGGTTTTCCTTTTTGGCTTCTAAAATTACTGAAATCCTTTCTTGAAGGAAGGAAGTTTCGGATCAAATTTAACAACGTTTTGTCAACAACACGGCCAGTACGGGCCGGTGTTCCTCAGGGTTCGGTCCTAGGACCAATTCTTTATTCGCTTTTCATCCATGTCCCTTGCCCCAGCAACTGTGAAGTCTACCTCTATGCTGACGACACTGCACTTGTCGCCCAGTCGTGTACTGGTGATCTGGTTCACGCTGGGTTGCAGAATACGGTGGACGAAGTTCTAGAGTGGGCGGAACGGTGGCTGATAAAAATTAATCATTTGAAAACGCATTCTATTTATTTTAACAAAAAACGTCGCGGCCCCCCAGCAGAGGTTTCTGTAGACGGAAATCGTGTACCATGGACAAATTCTCGGTATCTCGGTGTCACCCTTGATAAAGGCATGACCTGGCAGAAACATTGTTATGTAGATCCTCCAAATTGAGTTTGATAAACAAAGTTCGACTATATAAAATGATTATTAGACCAGCCATTACTTATGCATGTGCGGCTTGGTTTTTCTTGCCAAGACACACATGCAAAGTCTTCAAGTACTGCAAAGCAGAACTTTGCGGACAATTTGCAACGCTCCATGGTATGTCTCAAATGAGACACTACACGGAGACCTTGACATTCCTTACTTGAGGGATTATGTCAAGCTTCAGGCGCAGCGACGTTATAGTCAAGCGGAATCGCACAGCAACCCTCTGTTGCGTGACTCAGTGGACTACACAGTGGAGCAAAGTTCGTAAACATTCAAGGCCACGGCTCGCACTGTAATCAAAATTTAGCGCGAAATTTTAGTAAACTCAAAATTACACTCTAACAAAACCGAATAAAAAATTTGTTTAGCTCACCTCAAAATTAATCCGTGTACCAAGTCAAAAAGCCTAGGTGTTTCCTCTTAAACTAAGCGCATCTGTTTTTCTTTGCTCTTCTCCTTTTTTCTTCTTTCCCTTTCTCTTTTTTCTTGACTTTGTCTGGTTTCTGGGCAACCAGAACTGACAGATTCGACTAACGTACATCAGACAGTGACTAATGGGCAAAGGTCCTACGGAATGCCCAGACAAACAAATGACGAATAGAAAAAAAAATGAGATTGGAAATTATATAATAACTAATAACCATAAATTAATAAATAGTAAAATGATATACTCATATGAAAGTGGCCTTCACAGACATATGTTGTACTTTTGGTCCAATCAATCAAGGGTACGTAGAAAAATCTTTTATTACGGGTTGTAATTGTTGTGCTCGTAAATTTTGGAACGATACAGTATTCACAACAACCTTTTTTTGTTATTTCGCTCATAACCGACCGTATAATGTGCTGTCAACTAATTAAACAAGTTGGCGCGGAAGACGTTAAGCCTCCCTGTTCCCGCTGTATTTGTACCATCGAGTTCAAAACAAAGTATCCATCACAGATTCATTTTGTACTTGCTAACAACTCTTTTGTTTAGAAAAGTTCATTTGCATACAAAAAACAAAACGCCACAAACAAGTTTTGCCAGATTTATACCTGATCATTGTTGCCAACGTTGCAGAGTAACACAAAAATGTCACTTGCTGATCAGCTGTTCACCTCAGTAGACGTCAAAGCCTGATGGATACTCGTGAAACAGGGTATATGCACTCACATGCTGTTTTGTAGGAGTTTCATCACTCCATTGAATTGCACACCATTGTTGAGGTGTCCATTGTCTATGTTCTTTAGCCCATCTAAGCCGATTTTTCTTTTGCAGTGGAGTTAATAGTGGCTTTTCTTTGGCCTATAAACAAGTTGTGCAAGTTTAGGGTTTTTCCTTCACTTTTTTTTATAAGAAAACTTACCTTGCAAGTGCTGAATCCCAGTTTGTGGGCCTCTCTATGAGTTGTGGACCTCGAAATTCTTCTTCCAACAGCGTCACTCCACAGAGCACTTAATTGTAAATAATTGGCACGCCTGTTATTCACGATTATTCTTCTTAATGCTCTTCGGTCGGCATTTGTGATATTACTTTTTTTCACATATCGTGGCTTAATATTAAATGAACCAGTTACGTTATATCTTCTAACAATATTTCTCACACTGTACCGCAATAAGTCTAACAAACTTGCAATTTCTGAGTTTGATTTCCCAGAATTAAAAAAATTAATTATCAGTAACCGAATTTTCTCACTAATAACCTTTCCTCTAACCATTTTGAAAACCTTAACTACCCAAAACTATTTTAAACGTATTCTGACAACTGTGATTAATAAAAACAATTGTCATGGCTTTTATTTTTCACAGCCATCTATGAAAATAGGTTGATATGCTGTAATTGCAACATGTGTTATTTTTATGCTGCAAATTTGATTAGGGAGTGATAAAGTTGGTATTTTTTACTATATATTATGAAAATATTCATTGTTAATATTTTAAACCTATAATACCCTGCAACATTTTTATTATTTGTGTTTGATAAGAAAAAAACTAAGATTTCAATAGTTGGGCCATTTGAAGTGGGAAGGGGCTCATACGATATTCATGGTGAAA